TTCCCTCTTGGGACAGAAAATTTCTGCCATCACCTTCACCTTTCCTCCTTGTGCTCACTCTATTTACCACACACCGTATACCAGACCTAATCCTTATTTTGCCACATCGTCCAAACAGCTCCTTCCCTCCGGCGTTCCTGGCAGGCATGGCCGGCAGCACCACAGGCGGCCGGGGTGTCCTGCAGCCTCACAGGGCCAGCGGCCACTGCTGCCTCTGCCTGGGGCTGGCAGGGTCAAGCAGTGCCTGGCGCTGAGTCCCAACAGCCCCACAGGCCTCCAGCCCATGCTCCCGGTCCTGCACCTCCGTGCTTGGTCCTTGCCTCAGCCGTATCTCTCCACACTCCCCTTTAACCAATTCTGTTCCAACACACCAACACGATCTGTCCTTCCCCTTTTGTCAAGACTCCTTCTTGACTCCCCTTATTTCCCCCCCGGTCGTGGATCCTCAAGACTCCTTTTCAACTTTCCTTATTGCCTCCCTGGGCATGGAGTGTCAAGACCTCTTCTCGATTTTACCTTATTGCCCCCTTTAGATGTCTGTATCCTTAATTACCTCTGGGAGAGTGTGTAAACCAACTCCACATTCTTCCAAGGGATTCTTTGGAGATATTTTGGGATTGTCATCCCTTTTGCCAGGGCCCCTTCCCAGCTGTACCCTTGCAACCCTCCATGGGTGCCCTGTTTGACCTGTGCTACCCTCCATGGGTGCCCTCCCAGGTTTGCCTGTGCTACCCTCCATGGGTGCCTTCCCAGGTTTGCTTCCCGAAAATCCCATTTTACTCACCAGTGAGATTTTCAGTGGTCCTTCCCTGCGGACTCTTCATGGATTCCCCTGGTCCACCACTTGTCTGTCTCCTGGACAGTCTCGGGAACCCAATCGATCGCCCAGTGCTGGCTGCCACCAAGGGGAGCTGATTACTGAAACTGGGTGAGGCACCTTCAGCACTGCTCACTGCCTGCTGGCCTGGACAGTGGAAATGTTCCAGAAAAGAACCCACATTTGTCAGGAAAATTAACCCACGAACACCAGAGGTTTATGTCCAAAAAGGAGACAGAGGAGTCCTTTTACTTTATTTGAATAAAGGGAGAGGCCATGGGGCATTCCCCTGAGGTCTCTCAAATTTTTGGAGGGCGCAGCCTCCTTTTTATCCTAATTCCTGGCCATATGTCTCTTCTCTCTTTCCCCATAGGCTGAGGTACTTGAGAGGTACAGACTTCCCAGGATGCCTGATACCTGAGACCACCCACCCCCAATGCATAATCCCCTTCTTAATTCTTAACTCTTGTGGAATTTTATGCATCTCAGCATCTCTTTTGTCTTTCAGTGGAATCCATCCCATTTTCCTGTTATCTCTCAGTGATAGTTTCATCTTATCAGCTTGACCCACACAACCCACAGCTTGTTTGTAAAGACAAACCTGTCATTCCTCTCATCACCAATTTGTCCACTGTCTCAACTGCATTTCAAAAACATGGGCAGTAGATGTCCTGCTGTCAGCCTATTGGGATATGGAGTAGATGGGGTTGATTGAGAGATGTCTTAAAAGGTGTCTTATTGCAAAATCAATCTCATGGAAGGGTGAGACATTAAGGTTGTTACTCAAAAGCAATCACATCAGAAGCTGTCTTAATTCTAGTCATAATGCCATTTATAAATTTCTTAGCCAATCAGCAACTTTTACAAAGCTTCCTAGCATTTCATAAACCAGTCATTAATTGCTTCATCTTACACGATTCTACCACAATGTGTCTTTTTTCATCCAATCATATAACACTACAGAAACTTACAATGCTATATCTTTAATTTCTAAGTAACTTTATAACAAGTTCTATTGCTAAACTTTAAAATTTTCTGTCTTGCTTAACATATTTGTTCGCTTTCATGATGCATATTTCTGCTTGCTTAAAACATATTTCTGCTTAAACTACAAACTTCTATTCTTATTTCATGTCTGTTCCACTTTATGGTTTCAAGCCTTCTCCAAGGTCTCAGGTCAAACATTGTATCCATCTCTATCTCTGGGCTTGTATGTTCAAGCGTTAGAGAGCTTTCTGTGTGCCTGCGTTTCCCATGAGAGCCTGTCCAGTGCTTTATGTAGAAAGCAAATCATCTGGCTACTAGCACTCCAATGGTGCATTGAAAAGTTTTCTTGGCTGATGGCATTGTACTGCAGCTTTTAAAGGTAGTTAGTTTTCAGCCCTTCTCTGGGATAACAAAGCCATTGGGAGTGGCTGCCTTGCACAATGCATTAACACTGAGTTTCCAGACTGGGATTTTCCAATCTCTTCACTTGTTCTTAGAGTAGGAATACAGTGTATTAGCCAGTGTTTCAGTATGTGCCTGAACAGTGATTGCATGGTGGTGGCTGCTGCATTCAGGTAGCACTCACCTTGTGGCAGTAATATTTGGAAGTGCAGCTGCCTTATTCCTGCATTCACAGGAATAAGACAGAGCTGTCCATACAGTTCCACCAGCAGCTTCTGGGCCAGTGCACTTATATTAGGGTCAATCCTGTCTAGGTAGGGCTGAAGCATTGGACACATAATTTAATTTTCCCTTCTATCTGTCACTACATGATAGTCTCAAATGAATTATCAGTGTGGAAACCAGAATGAAAGACAAGGGAGGCCCATTCAAGGACAGAGATTGGTGCAGCCCAGGAATTCAGAGTGCATTAACAGAAACCGTTGCATTTGATCCCAAAGCCCAAGTAAAAGGTTATTTAGCTATTGTAAATACAATTGCTGTTATGATGAATGACAGTAAGTGGCTTTCAGTCTTAGGTTATTACCTGGGAAGGACAAGCCTCTGAAAGAAATTGGCCAAGAGACAGCACTCCTGTTTAAATGCCTTTATTAAGATTCAGCTCTTGAGGTGGGGATCCTAAGAAGTTGCTTGCACCATGGCTGTTCCCACACTGGCAGTTCCAAGGGTAAGCTTAGGTGATGCAGGAAGATGATCTTTCACCATAGCTTGCTAGAATATGTTTCTTTGTTCTTTTATTCCTCTGTTAGCTCATTGTTTTGGTGTCTTGCATGCCTTAGTTTGCATATTATTCGGTAGCACAGCTCCCTGGGAGTTGCTTTGTTCCAGTGTGGCACAGCTCATGGGAGTTGTTTTGTTAGGTGGCCCAGCCTCCATGGGAGCAGCTTTGTTACATAGTAGCAGGGAAGTAAGGGAAAGGGTACAGGAATGTCTCATAAGAACCTTTAAAACACTTCAGAAACTAGTAAGTAATTAACATTACTAATAACCATTGGAGTAAACAAGGGGTACAACAAACAAGGTTTACAAATGGGATAAGAACATTAACTGTACATAACTAAACACAGTGTTTTAACTGGGGTGGATTTCTTAAGAGATTCTATTATTGACAACTTGGTTTGTCTTTTGCTGTTGTTTTCTGTGATAACAGAATAATCGTGTTTAAAACCAAATAGCAGTCCCAAGCTAATTCTGCTGATCAATACAGATTCAAGGGAATTCTGTGTAATCTCTACCAAAGGACTCATCACTGAAAGATGGGGACATCCACACCAATCATATCTCTTTGACATCTTGCATACTGGAAGGAATATTGTCCAAAGTCTGAGGTCCAGGCTTGGAACTAGAAAAAGTAGAAAGAGTAGCCAGCGTAGTCACTTTTCCTTTTGCTATTTTGTGTTGTAATGGATGATAAGAGGAGATATCATCGCTACTGATCCTTGGGAGCTGGCAGACTATGTGGTGACAGGAAATCTCAGGAGATCTGTGTTAAGTGATTTTTTTGTTAGGCATGTGATTTTTTTTTTTTTTTTTTTTTTTAGTGAGTTTCTCTTTGTAAGGCCTGTCCTCTGAGAACAGGAGTCTAGTAGAAGAACAGACCAGAGGTTCCCTGTTTCATAAAGCAGTGTTGTCTAGTAGCTTTTATCTTCTTCCTCTTTTTGAACAGAACAAAGGTGAAAGGGGAGAAAATAAGCCCTTTGAAATGAAAATATGAAGAAATTAACACCTAGGTGGAAGGTGGTAATGGGTCTGTTTCAAAAGGATCAACAGAGTAGACCTGTGAACAAATTATTCTGCAGAGAAGCTCAAGCAGTGGTGATTCTTGCTGGGTGTGGGTCTGACTTCAAGCAGCCAACATGTTTCTTGTCCAGTGGTTTGCAAAGACTCCCGATATCCAAATAAATTAAATACCAGTGTGTGCTGGGCAGTCTCTGAGCTTCTTATCCATTGGCAGTGGGGCGGATGTTAATACATTAAATAAACTAATTTCTCACAACTGGAAACCTTGATTTTTCATTTCTCATGGCAGCTAACTATTGCCTGCTTTGAAGGGAATGTTTCTCCACTGAGAGATGTCCAGGTAACACAGTTTTGTTTCTTTACAGTGGCTCTGAGAAGGGAAGTAGTGTGACTGAAACACCTGTAATCAAAAAGCACAATGGACTGCATCTCACTCTTCCAGATGCTCATGACACTGATTCTGGTAAGGAAACAAGATTTGTGCTTTCCTATCCTAAACACGTGCTTTTGTGAGAGATGAATGCTTAATTTTGTAATAAAGAATTGGGTAAATAAAAATTCGGAAGAAAAGAGGCCATCATAGAAACAAAAGAACTAGCCTGAAAGTCTACCTCCGGACAAAGGCAACGCCCGGCCGATTTCGGCCCGGAGACCATCAAGCAAGACAAAAGGGACGAGCCCCAGGAAAATGGTCGTTGCCAGAATTGAACACCACACCCGCCAAACCTATGCTACAGAAACTCAATCAAGAAAGACAAAGGAGAGACTACTCCTCCGAGATATCCATCGGCGCTAGCCCGGATCCCTCGACTCTGCTGTGATGAAATATGTTAAAATACATACAGACTCACTTTGCATTTGAGGAGACTCTGCCCGGACACTTACTGACTCAATGTTCTAGGCCAGGAAATCCATTCACCCGACAATCAGGGACACTTGGTGAATGGAAACTGGTTGGAATTCTAGCCTGGGGACATAAAATCCCTATAAAAACCCAGGCCAAAGAACCCTCAGACGTGGATTTGGGAACACCTATACCTTGCGTATAGACCCTGTCCACCCAGCGCTGCGCTGTCCATTTATTGTGGTTTTTCCTCGCTGTTTTGCTGTTTTGTTAATTTATAATAAATTTATCTTTTTTATCTTTAATCTACCGTTGCATTTATAACAATTTTCTTTGGAGAGTGTGGTGGGCCTGTACATGTTCAGGTTGCTGGGCTGCTGGTCAGGAGGTTCAGGACTGCCTCCATGGCCAGCTCTGCTGTAGAATGTGTCACTGTGGTTTGCCTGTACCTTGGCTTCCCCGTAACACAGAGAGGAGTTTCTGCTTTCTTTCACAAAGTTTCTCTGAGATGTATAATTCTGTTTGTTTTATGGGGGATTATTTCCCCTCCTTCCTTCCCTGAGCCTGTCTTCCCATTTAATTCTTTTTAGATGTCCTGATAAAGCCAGCTGCTGTTGTTGATTTCGGAAAGCTGAGTGAGAGTGTCAATTCCTATTAGACGGTGATTTGTTTTGGGATTTGTGTATAAACATTGTGATGCTTTATTATAAGGTAAATGCATATTCACAGTAATAGATAAAGTCAGATGGAAATAACTGAGACATCAAAGCTGATCTTCGCAGTAAGGGGGAAAGAAAGCTTTCAGAGAGCGCTGCTGACTTGTGATTTTTGTTGTAATTGTCATGGAGTTACTTTACCTTTAAGGGAGTTGGAGTTGCTGGGAAGTGCTTGGGGACTTTTCTCCTGACCAATTATCGGTCATTGCTGGGAATTGACAGCAGTTTAGGCCATTGAAAAGTGGGATCAACTTGTGAACCCTACCTTAAAGTGTAAAAGCAGAGCTCTCTGGGCTCTCTTTGTTTCCTGGCTGTGAAGGGTGGCGGAGCTCTAGACTTCCTGTCCCTGCCCAGGCCATGCGGCCGGGCGGGGATGGGGCCGGGCCTGCCCCGTCTCCCGGCCGGGAGATAGGGGGGCCTAGGGGAGGTTTTCTCCGGGCCGGGCCGAGCCGATCTCTGGCTCGGCTGCAGGTTTTGCTGTAACTAATTCACTAGAAACTGCCCAGTGAAGAAAGAGAGAGGCCCTGGACTTGCAGCGGGTTGGAACAGCGACCACACGCTCCAGAGCAGCCATGAGGAACTTTCCATCACAGACGGCTCCAGCTCCTGTTTGGCAGAGATCTCCGAACCATCTACAAAAGCCTGGGCAAGATGTTAACTCTTTCATTACCCAGATGAGACTTGCGGATTAATCTTTTTATCCAGAGAGAGAGAGAGAAAGAAAGATCAACATGAAAAGAAACTTTATAAACTACCAGTGACAAGAAAGAAAAGAAGCTTCAGGAAAGGTAGAGAATTAAGAAGATGCTTTAATTAAGCTGAAATATTTCCCTGTTAAAACTATGGAGATGGACAATGAAGTCCTGAAAAGAACTCTTTTAATTCATGATATAAGATCTAGAGAGGAATAGTGTTCAAAGTGTAAATTTGAGTAAAGAGTAATTATAGTATAGTGAAGTACTGGGAGATTAAAAGCCTTGAGAGGCAATGAGAAAACTGTTGAGAGATTTGAAGCCCTGAGAGGCCATGAGAAAACTGTTTTCTGGTGAAGCTCACAGAAACAGATGAAGAAGACTTTTTTTTTGCCTTTGAATAACTTATCCTTAAAAATGCTATCTCTAGACGCATGGCCCATACACACTTCAGAGTGATGTGAGAATGGGAGGAGTGAACTCTAATAATAGCAGCTCTGAGCAGCTAACATTAGGGCAATGGAAAACTATAACAAAAATAGTTTTCTTGTGAGAAACTCCATAAATTAACAGGAAGAAACTTCTGTTTCTCTATAAAGATTGGTAAAAAGACTAGCAAGAATTGGGACTGTTTTAACCATCAGAGTTCCAGAGTTTTTGTCTCTGTTGTCATGTGAACAAGGGAATAGTGGGTAGATAGGGGATGGAAGGGTTTTTCTGGAAGTTTATTCTGGTGTTCTTATTATTGTGGTTTGTCAATAAACTTTCTTTTTTTTCCCTTTTAAGTTGTATGCCTGTTTTGCTCTTATTCTAATCCATATCTCACAGCAGAAGTAAGTAATTTTCTTAGTTAGTGGTTTAAAACCATGACAGTAATTCTCGTGATATTTGGTACTTCTTGAAGACCCTAGCTCAAAATAAGATGTTGATGTGAGAATCTTGCCTTTTAACTTGGAGGATTTTTTAGGGGATCAAATGGCTATCCTTGTGGATGTAGAAGAAGCACTTGGCAAAGAAAGTGAACCTCAAACTCAGAAACTGTGTCTCGTTAAGGACTTTTGGATTGGGTTCTTTTTTCCTTTGAACTGAAGATTGATGAGAGGGAGGCTATTTTCTCTTGTTCGGTCTCAGTAGTTTATTCTTTTCTTATCGGCATTACAAGGTACAAGGAGTTATGTGCACTATGATAGAAAATGGTAAAATGGCTAACAAAGATCCTCTTCAAGGTTTTTTATATGTCCATTTACCCAATTAACAGATGCTAACTAAATTATTTTTCTTAGTGACCCAATGACCCAACACCTGTGTGCTGCACTATGGTATTTTCTATCCAATCACTTACTACTACCCAAAAACCCCTAGGAGAAGAACATGAAGAAGAAAGAAGAAGGACAAGAGACAACACCCTTAATCATCTTGTCTCCTGTTCTCTAAACTAACTTTTTCACCCAATGATTTAATAATCTACACACTTACACTTTTAGCTTTTTCTATCTAACTTTAACATTTGTTTTCATGTATCACCATGAAAACATGCTCATGAATTTCCTATTATATGAAATTCAGTGTTTCTTTGAATCCTAGAACTAAGTATTAGAAACAAGGGCACACACTCTGTATCTCTGACTCCAACAAAATTGGACAAGAAAAAAAGCTAACACATCAATCTAACGGATCTCTAGGGAATTAGAGTTTGTATGAGTCTTAATTGTGCTGTAAGCCATGGTGCTGCCTGCCATAAAGGGCGATTAATGTAAAGTACAAGCTTTGAATCAGCTTTTCTTGCACCTAAAGTGATTTGCACTGAATGCAGTTTGGTTTTAGCCAAGAAATATATTCCTCCTCCACTTTGAGAGTACAGGTTTCCATGCTAACATAGTTGCCCCCACATTGGATACAAAGAATGGAGCTTGTACTGAAATTACACCACCCACCTTAGTGATGGGCTGGCACTGGCTGATTTCAGCAGTTCTCTGTGGCTCCCATCCAGAACTCCCATCTGCAGGAGGGAAGCAGCTGGGTCTGCTGTCTCTGTTGGGAGCCTGTTTGAAGACAGTAGTGGGTGAGATTGGAGGGTACAGCTCTAGCCCCTCTTGCCCTTATGCTTCCCCAGAGCTGGGGCTGTGGCTGCCTGCTTTGGATGAGGGAGGAGGTCTGATACTTCTGCATCACTGTGGAACAGGCAGTACCGTCTGTTGTAAAATCTTCTGGGAGCATGCAGCAGCATCCATCGCTGTACTGTGCAGGCGCTCTGTCATCTCTGGGCACATCACTGAAGGGTGTGGGTTACTGTGGCCAAGTTTGACACTGGCCTCTCCCTCAGCTAGACCACAGTAAGATTATTTGCTGTGCCAGAATTTTAGGTTTGCTGCCAGTAAGATTAATTTCTCTTTATTTTCTTCATCTTCTAACTGAAGCAGTATTCCTAACTAAATTCACTGATATCAGTTAGCTGCCTTGCTGTTTCATTTTTTTTCTGATTGTCTTATAATGCTTTTGCCTGAAGTGATTTAGTCTTGGGAATTCTGTTTCTGTGTTTCTTACAAGCCTAGTAAATCTAATGAGCTACATTTCTATTTTGATAGAAATTATCTCATAAATGAAAAATATTAAACTTGGTCTTTTTGGTCTTAAAATACACTAGAACAGTGCTTCAAAATAATTTAGATTTTGTATGGCTTATGTGCCGAGCTCATCACATGAAAATCAGTTTATTTCATCAGTTATTTCCAAAATATGTGGAGGGGTTTATCGTAAAATGTGAAGTTTATATTCTGTCTAGTAGAGCTGTTAAATAGAGAAAGAGACTGCACTAAAATAACAAATTTATATGATATCTTCATATACAAACATTTGCATGTATTTTGAGGCATGACATTAAATTTCTGTGAGACAGGTTTTGTGGAGAGGTTTTTTTAGCACGTTTCTTTAGGAGGAGATATCTTATAATGAGACGTTCAGATAAATTTTTTTTTTAATACTGCTTTGAAGTTTTTCCATCTTCCCCCATGACCCTGAGGTCAGTGTCCTGGCAGTGTGACACATGCTGATCTCCTCTCTCAGGATATAGTGTGTTAGAAGTAAACTCCTTTGTGGCTCCAGTAGCCATCAGCTCACCCCCAGGGCACTGTACTGCTTGCCTGAGATTCATAGATGTCGCTTAAGCCCCTTTCCAGAAGGGCCAGGCTGTCAAAAACCTTCTCTTACAGAGTTTATTTGGTCAGGCAAGCTTTAAGGAGAGCTACTTTGAGCATCCCAGCAGAGATGGGCAAGAACAGTGGTGGCAAAAGTGGAGTTTGTGCTGGTTTGGAGAGAGCCTGATCATCTGGCATATATGTCTAGAACAAGGAGTGTATCTGTCTGAGGCTGAGCAGGGATGGTGTGGTCTTTGCTTAAAATATTTTGCTTCCTCTTGTAGGCTGGAAAAGTAGGAAAGTAAGCATCAAAGGACTGGAATGCCAAGGGATGTTAAATGCAAGGAGTGTCCGTGTAAATTGCTAAGTAACTTGGGTCTCATTTGTCTGGGTGTGCAGATGCCCACTGTACTGAGCAGGATCAGTCTCAGTTTCAAATTCCCCTGTTGGCAACTACTGGTCTAATGAAGATAAGATGAGGAGCAGCTAACCTGTGTTTCTTTGAGAGCAACTATACTTTTATATTCCTGATGCTTTTATATTTCTGTGAAGTGTGCTTTGTGGGGGAAGGATGCTTTAGTAGATTCTAACTGGATCTACTTAGGCAGTGTGTGAACCTCTCCAAAATGCGCAAAGGTGCCTTACAGTGATTTAATTTTCTTGGATTGATTTGCAAGGAAAAGAGGATTTCCCTGAGCTCTGTGAGGATGTGAATAAGATACCAGCCTATCTGCCCACCCAGCATTGCATTTGGGTGCTTGCAAGAAGCACAGCTCCACAAAGCCTCTCTGGGAGAGGGCAACCTTGGTAGAAAAATGTGTTCTGAAAGTTGCATTCAAAGCATGTATCTGGTTAGGCTGACTGCATGCACAATCCACAAAGTACGTGTAATTTTTTTCAAGTTTGCCAATCTAGAAGGCAAGAAGTCTGCCCTAACTTCAAAGCTCTGCTAATAACATCACTACCTGTTCATGTGTCTGTTTTCTTGTCTGTGCACTGCGGAGAAGCTGACTGTGTTTTGAATGGCTGGAGATAAATGCTTGGTAGTTTTCCCTATGTCAAACAGCTCAAGTCTGACTTGAATTTCTGGGAGTTTCAGTGAAATTCTCACTGGTGGAGATAGGGATGGAGGAAAGGAGTGTGAATGGGCAAGGTGGGAGAGGAATCTCGTGCAGTGAAACAGGCTGAAGCTGGATCAATTAAATAAACTGATAAATACAATAAATTCTCTCTACAAAGCAGAATGGCTTTTACCCCTATTCTTAAAACTGTAATTGCTACATTACTGCAGTGTCATCTTTTGGATCATTGGATCACGAGTGTCTTTGAAACTATGCAGGAATTGAAGAAATACATCTGGGAAGAACATATTTGCATTTTCCGAGGAAGCCGTGGGAGGTGCCTGCTGCAGGGCTGTTTTGAAGTTCTTGCTTGAAATGAATGACATTAGTTAGTAACAGGATAACAGGACAAATATTTCCCATAGCAGTTCTGGGCCTGAGTTGCGTTTGTGGTCTCTCCCAAGCCGTGACATGCTCAGCTCAGATGAAGTAGAAGCTGCAGCCTGTTCTGCCTTGCAAAGCACAGGTGCTTGGCACAGTAGAGTGCAACAGAAACGTGCCTCCCCTCATGCCTGGCAGGAGGCTGGGTCCCTACTCAGCATCCGGAGCAGAGATGGCCAGGAGACCATGGCTGGGGACCACAGGGTGATGTGCTGGTCTGCTGGTGAGGAGGTGTGGTTTGGCAGTCCTCTCTCGAGCACACTCCAGCTGGAAAAGCATGCTGTCCCTCTCAGAGAGACCATTAAGTGCATATGCCCTGTGGCTGCGGGAGAAAAAAAGCGGGATTTTAACTCAGGGATCTTGTGGTTTATGAGGTTGGCTTGTAAGGATAGATTCAAGAGTAATGCTAATCAACGCAAGTCCTTCAGTCACAGCAGCTCTCCACAGAAAGAACTTATCAATCATAAAATCACATTAAAACCTATGTATATTAAAATTCTTATTTCTGAATGCTTACAAAGCCAACTCTGAAATCTCAGGTTGTAGCTTCTTATTTTGTTACCATCATCCTGATACCCCTCTGAGAGGTTGGCTCATCAGTATAATCCCACTTGCTGTACTGGAGAAGAGTGGTTTCTACCCATGTAACCCTCCTGGGATAAGCTTTTCATGTGATGTTTTTTCCCAGAGGTGTGGGTGCCACATATACTTTATTCTTGTATAAATGTTACATTGAATACTAAAGGTTAATATAGTCAAAGCTCTGAACTCTCTGCTCTCCAAGGTTAAATGAAAAACCACCCTGCCTCTAAATCAGTAGAATAATATTGATGTCACTTGAAATGCGTGCACTATGTGAATGGGGCTAAGTGGTCTGTATGAATTTTTTACCTTAGTGGGGCACATTTTGTAATTGTGTGATGACTGTGCTTATAAAGTAGGTATTTGTGGAAAATACTTGATGCTAGACTTCTGCTTTCCAAACGAGCAAAATATGGTTTCTTCCTTGATGAATGCTAAGCAGACCTTTATAAAATTAATGTCTGACTCTTAATTTGCTTGTCTGAGCTGCAGCCCTTGGATAATTCAGTGTTTTGGGTTTTTTTCAGTAAATTAACCTTTTATAAAACATACTTCTCCAGTTTGTCATGCCAAAATCCAGCAGAGTTCTTATTACATAAAACCAATGCTGTGAGTGGAGGATCAGACCTGCTGCCTTAACAAGTCAAAGAAATATCATAAATAAGTATAAAATACATTAATGTTTGTTTGTCTCATAGGATCACAACGAGCCTCTTCCCTTGCTGCATCAAGATTGGAACAGGCCATGTCTGAAATAACTATGCAGAGCAGTGCAATGAAGCAGGGACCTGTGAAGCTGTGGACAACTCTTGAACAAATTTGGCTACAAGCTGGTAAGTCGTGAACTACCTGGAGTTCCTCTTTCCCTCCAGTGGTGAATCAAATGATCTAAGTATTAGCAGAGTAGTTGAAGTCATTAGTTGAAAATCACTCAATTTCAGCAGAAAATCTGCCTGTCTATCCCACTTACTTGATTTTGACCCAAAAAAAACCTCTGTAGTAGTGTGATTTTTCAGCTCAGTTTTGTTTTTCCAAAACACACAGAAAACTTTAGTCATCACTGTAATGTGCTTTTTGATAAAGAGGATAGGTAGTTCTTCATTAACAAAAGGTAGTTCATAAGGACAATTACTTCCATTCTCCTTCTACTAAATGCTTCCCTGTAATACTGTAATAATAAAATGGCATAACATGTCTAAAATGTGATTTAAGCATTCCAGTCTTTGCTGAGGTTTAAGTGAAAGTTATTAGAAAGAGCATGTTCTCCACTCTGTCCTTGACTGTTTGAACCTCCCAGGATTTTGTAGGTTGAGTATGAGTTTGAGACACTAACACAAAGGTGCTCCAACAGAGCACATCAGGGGAAAACAGTGAGGAGAGACTCTATCCACAAGCAATCTCCAAACCCATGGAGGTGCTTTATGTAGGACATTTGTTGAGGAACAGAGTTTCCCAGAACATTCTGCCATTTGCATTGCAGCATTTCAGAACTGATAGAGTTCCAACCCTGTAATTCCGTTTTTAGGAGGCACAGTTCTTCTTCCATAACTGGGCCCACAGTTGCACACTTGAAATTACCTTTGAGTGTTGTGATTGCTTATTACATGTCTCACCATTTGCAGTGAAGAAAGAAAAGCAGAGCCCCCTGGAAAGCTGCTGATGATTTTCTATTCTTTGTGCAAGGGAACCTTTCAAATTATCATTTTGCTAATTTATGCAATTGACAGTTCTCACATAAGACCTGGCAGTCTCTTCCTACTTCTCAGCGAAGATTTTCATAGCTGTTTTTGTGGGTAATTGCCTAACAATTAGACTTTAGTTCTAAAATAAAATATATGAGATTGTTTTTGCTACAATTTGATTAATATTAACAAAAGAAGTCACCTTATAGAATGCGTCATCCTTTAAGTTCACATGTATTCACCTTAATGACTTGTGTGGATGTAAATTTCAGTGATGTGCTGTGGGCTTCAAAATCACCAGAAATATTTTGCTTTATTCAGTTTATACTCCTGATTTAAGGCTTCAGAGAAGGCTGGTGGGGAGCAAAATAAATGGAGTTTATTATGATGAGAAGTCAGGTGTCTGTTGTCCATCATCCTGCAGATAGCTCTCTAGGCAGTTTACAGTTTTGCTGCTGTCTGAAAAGACAAAAGCAGTAAAGACCTAGTGCTTACTGTGAATTGCTATGATTGCTTTTCAGTATGAATAGAGTGCCTTTCTGAAAGGTGTTAATTAATTCTCTTAGAATTTATTTTTATAAGCTGTAACTTTTCTTTCTTGCCACTTTTTAAGCCTTCATTTTGCTTCATGCTTACTTTTAGCTGGACTCAATTCAGGATTTGAAAACATGTACTGTGACTGCTTTGTAATTTCATTACTGAAGTCAGTTATTATGGATGCAGCTTTATGAGCTCCTTCTGAGATACTGGCCAGTCTCTTCTCACAGTAGTGTGGAAGCTGCTGCATTCTGGTGTCCTGAGGGATGAGGAGAGATGCAGGTATTATGGGGTAGTCTTTACTCTCTGTGGAGAAGGGCACAGTTCTTGAATAATTAGAAGACTTCTTGGAAGTGGGTTGATCTTATGCTGATCTTAGTGAATGGAATAATCCAAAGGGTGTCACTAATCTTCACTACTAGGATCTTTCCCACCTGAAAGGAGGGGAAAGGAGGAACAAGTATACTTGTAAGAAGTAGCTTCCAAAACAGAGATATTTCACAGACAACAAATGAAACAGAAATCCATGCTTAGAGGAAGTTGAGGTAGTCAGGTGGTTTTGCATTACAATTCACCCCAGAATTAATGGCTGCGGAAAGCAACAGGCAATTAGTGTAACATTCTCCATACATATGGAGTCGTTTGATATCCATGGAAGGTCTGCATCAGTATGCTGTAGACTTTTATCAGTTTTAGCTTGGACTTGTCATTTTTCAATCAGTGACTCATCTTGTGACTCCAAGTTGCCTAACTTTTTCATACAGTGTCCTATCTCCAAAGGGAAAAAATGTTATTCCTCCTTTGGGAAATTACTCATATGTTGTTGTTTTTGTTGTCATTAACACGTTGACCTTTTTAGCTTGATTCATAAATCCTTGGATAAAGTTATTACAATTTCCTAGCTTCATACTACAGTAAATTTATAACAAAGCATCCGTCCTTCTCAGACACCCTCAGGACACAGCTGGCTGTGTCTCTGTGCACAGTTGAGGTATGGATAGAGCATGCCAGGTTGCAGTTGTGTCTGTGTTACATTAGAGCCATTACAGTTGCAATGTCTCCTCATATCCCAGGGCATGAAAGTTAATGGTGCCAACCAGCTGGTTCAGTTAGAACTTGGTGCAATGGGATTGGAAAGAGGCACACAAAACTAGCTATCCCACAGCTATCTGGGGCTGCTCTTACAGCCCTCCAGCAGCCAGGCCAGGCCACAAAGCCAGCACATATACTTGCAAAAGGGACTGTTAGGGGGTGGTAGCGATCCAGTGATGCTTACATGGGGGAATCCTTCCTGTATCATCCTCCAGTTGCTGCTGCAGTAGGAGTTCCTGCCTTGTACAGAAGTGTCCTCAGTCCCTCCAAGCTAGAGACCCCTTGTTCTCCAACGGGTTTCACAATTAGCTTAGGAGAATATGTATGTTCCTTTAACAGTGGCTGAAGGGAAGGCTGTTGAGAGGAATGACAGATTTGACTTTACAATCAAGCTGTGGGTCTGCTGGTAGATAAAACTAGCACTGAGATATAAAAGAAACAATGGGAAGGTTTCCACTGATTGATGCATGGAAAAAAAAGACATTTGCCTTTACAAACAAACTGTAGGTTTGCTGATAAATGAAGCTGGATATTAAAAGATGAAAGAAACAATGGGGAAAACCCCCATTCCATAAGAGATAAAAATTAAAAGGGAGGTTTATACATTAGAGTGGAATCTTAGGTATCAGGCATTCTGGAAAGTCTGTACCTCTCAAGTGCCTCAGCCAATAGGGAAAGAGGTAGGGAAATTCTGTCAGGAAATTAGGATAAAAAGGAGGCTGCATTCTCCATGAATTTGAGAGACCCCAGGGAAATGCCCCATGGCCTCTCCCTTTATTCAAATAAAGTAAAAGGACACCTCTGTCTCCTTTTAGGACATAAACCTCTGGTGTTTGTGGATTAATCTTCCTGACACTGTGAACCCTGTGCAAATAGTTAATCCATTTTGTACTATGATAAAGGTACTTATTTCACACATAAGAAAGTGGACACTTAGTGGTTTTCTCTGTAACTTTTCTGGATTTGTGACCAGCATAGTTTTGTAGGGAAGACAATAAAGTATCATCTTTGGATGTGCAGCTACTAAATCAAAATGTGTTGCACTGTAAACAGATGCTGTACCTTGCCTTTCCCTGCAGCAATGCCTAGTGATCTTTGGCAAGCTAATTTTTGTAGCCTCCTGTAAACAAAGAGCTGCTTGATGGATCTGTGGTCTCCAGAAAGAGTCCTTTTCTCTTTCAAGCATAAAAATAAAACTGTGAATTCTCACTGTTAATCTCATGTCCAGCTGTCTCTTACAGGACCACCTAGGAGTACAGTCATCCACAGCACAGAACTCGACACATTTCCGTAGTGAGCTTCCATATTTTCCTGTTTTCTGCGCAGGTAGTCACAGCTTTGGAAAAGCAGTGTGCTGTCCTCAAAGACTAGGGACATCCCCTGCAGCAGGCATGCTTGGAATACTAACAGGCATATTTTATTTCCAAGTGTTCTGCAGCAAAGATTGTTAACACAGCTTGTCTGGTCGCTTTAACAATAGCTCTCCTAGTCCTCACAATGGCTGCTTAAAAAGAGTCATCTTGGAACACTTTAACATTTATGAGCCTAAACATTATTCTTGGCCCCATGTCTGAGAAAGAGCTCATTTCAGGGAGTGCTTAGGAGCAGTGCACCAGTGCACATGCTGTGGTGGTGCAGCTCCAGGAGCAGTAGTCATTATGTAATCCTTATGCTCATGTCTTCTCTTTGTTCTACTTTACGTGGCTGAGAGCTTGAATTGAAGTTTGAGAAGAGGCAGAAACTTCGGTGTCACTGGTAAAGCTTGTTAACTCCTCCCTCTTCCTGCAGGAAGAGCTGCAAGGGGAATCCTAGAGATTACTAGTGCTAATTCTTCTAACGGTCATGCCAGTACTCCTCCTTTTTGTTTAGAAAATAGAGTCATGCTGTTTGGCTAAAGAAAATATACTTGAAATTGTTCAGATTTATGACCAAAATTTACCTTCATTTGACATTTTTATAAGATCATTTTGACCCAGAGAGCAAAGCACATCAGAAGTATGTGTGATTATATTTCCAGGCAGTGATAACCATATGCTCTATTTATACAGAGCATTTTAGAATATTACAAGCCAGTTTTAATAAGAGTTCTAGTGTTCTAGCTCCTGTTACTGTATTATTTTAATCTTTACTTTTTACTACAAGGTCCACTTTGTCTTTACTAATAGTTTATATCTGACAATTTAGCTTCCTGAGTAACCCAATACTTTACTAAATATGGCCACTCACAGCAAAGTAGGTCTGGTAATTTGACCTAAGTTTGGCTAAATGTTTGCTAAGCTTAGCCTGTGAACCTCACCAGGTAGACCTTGAGGTTAATTTAAAGGAGCATTTAGAGAAAAATGATGAGGATACTATTCTGTCTACTCACAGTGGGGCTGGAGTGGGCTTCCTGCTGTCTCAGTAACATGCTGAAGTTTAACCTAGGAAAAATTGTTTGTACTGAACATGCTACAAAATAGAAATGCAGAGAGCCAGTGCAGCAGAGAACAGTGAGCTAATGGAAAAACATCTGCTCCCCTGAG